TGTTTAAAGATGAGAAAAATGAGGCTCAGAGGAGTTGCATGGCACGGTGATTCTCTCAACACCCATTCCCCTTCTTCTGACAATTGTTCCCACGCCCCTGACCCACTCGCAGTCCATGTGGCCTGGGGAGGGCCCCGTGCACAACTGCAGGCCTGAGACAGGTCACTGTGCTCCTGAGTAACTTCTTCCAGGGCAGGTGAGGGATCTAAGTGGGTGCAAAGGGAGTGATTCCTGGGATTCTATGGGATCTCCTGCAAAAGAGTTTCTGTCTTCCCCTCTGGACTGGAGCTTGAGAGGGTGGGAGGCTGAGACTGAAGTCAGGCCCCAAGCAGAGCCTAAGATGGAGAGAAAGCATCTGTTTGAGCACTGAATCCAGCTGTGCCCCACACCACCCCTATCTTGGAATGATTAGTCACGGCAGCTGTGTTAAGTTTGCTAGAGGCTGCTGTAACAAACTGCATAAACTGGGTGGCTTGAAACAATAGAAATTAATTTCTGATAGTCCTGGAGGTCAGAGGCTCAGAATCAAAGTGTCGATAGGGCCAGGATCCCTAATAAGACTCTAGGGGAAGACCCTTCCTTGCCTCCTCCTAGCTTCTGGTAGCTGCCAGCAATCTTTGGCTTTCCTTGGCTTGTGGTAGCATAACTCCAATCTCTGCCTCTGTCGTCACCCGGCCTTCTTTCCTCTGTGTCTTCACATCGTCTTCCCTTTGTGCACCTCTGCATCCAAATTTCCCTCTTCTTATAAGGACACTGGTCATTGGATTAGGAACCCACTCAAATGACCTCATCTTGAGAACATCTGCAAGATCCTGTTTCCAAATAGGGTCCCATTCACAGGTATTGCGGGGAGGACGTTAGGACTTGAACATACCTTTTCGGGGACACAATTCAACCCACAATATCAGCTGATAAATTCCCTTTGAGCTGAACCTGCTTGGGTTGGGTTTTGCACCAAGAAGTAGACCCAAGACTTACTCTCAGTTCTCAGTCAACAAACAAGACCCAAAGCTGCGCCCTTATCCACAGGCTCAGACTGCAAGCCTGTTCAGCTTCCCTCCCCAAATGTCAGCGGCTCTACTTTGGGCAGAGGCCCAGGCTTAACCATCTTCTATATCTGCCTCCTAGTCACTGCATACAGCATGCTCACGGAATACAGGACTGATTGCTATCTAATTAATTCACCAAAATTCAAATAGTGAAACTGAATTAGTCATCGCTTATCATAGGGCAGTAGGCTGAGAGATGACCAGGATTTTTATCTTAGAAATAAAGCTATGGATTGTCTGCACGACTGCATTGCAAGATTTCCCCCAGATTTGAAAGATCACCTCAGGTGGTGATGAGAAGAATGCTTCCCCCTCCCCAGACTTTTAATTTCCAGAATAGAACAGAAGCCACACTCCTTTTACATGCATGGCCGTGTTTACTTCAGGACCTGAGAGAAGGCTGTAATTTCAGCTTGTTATGCTAAAAATATGAAAAGAAAACTGATCTCTATAGGATCATTTAAATGAAAACTGCTTCCCAGAGGCAAGCCGAAGAAGCAAACTGACTGAAAGAGAGCACAGGTCTCTGGGCAGGAAGGGCCATGGAGTGTGGACCCAGGGTGGGAGGTAAAACCGGGGACTTCTGTAGAAACAGACTGGGGCCCATTTGACCCAGGTCACATGTGTAGTGATGCCATCCCCAGTTCCTTCCACTGGCTTCCAAAGTCACTTTCAAACGCCACTAGCGACGGACCATTCTCTTCCTTGAATCCTACTTGCCTAGGGCCAACACGATTTCTCCACGCCCACGGAAGCCCAGGCAGCTGAATGGCAGTGTGCAGGGGAATCCCCTGGTGAGCTCCCTTTGCAACAAAAGCAGATTTGGGGCTACACCCCTAGGCACTTTCATGAAGTAAGGGAATTCGTTTCCTGTGGTTGCCACAGCAAATCACTACAAACTGGGTGGCTTATAACACAGAAATGTATTCTCTCACAGTTGTGGAGGCCAGAAGTCCAAAATCAAGGTGTCAGCAGGATTGGTTCCTCCCGGAGGCTCTGAGGGAGAATCTATTCCAAGCCTCTCCCAGCTTCTGGTGGCTGCTGGCAGCCCTTGGCAGCCCTTGGCTGTCGCTGCCCATCTCCAGTTTCTGCCTCTTCATGTGGACTTCCTCTCTGTGTGTCTCTGCTTCCCCATAGCCTTCTCCCTTGTATCTCTGTGTCTCAAATCTATCTCTACTTTCTCATAAGAACACTAATCATTAGATTTAGGGCCCATCCTAAATCCAGGATGATCTCATTTTGAGTTCCTTAGCTTGATTATATCTGCAAAGACCCTGTTTCCAAATAAGGGCTTATTATAGCTACTGGGACGTTAGGACTTAGATGTATCCATGGGCGGAAGAACACAATTCAGTGCACTACTGTAGATTTGGGGAGAGACCCAGAAACTTGTATTTTTTCCCCCATATGCCAAGTGACTCTTTGTACTCTTTGCTCCCAAAATGACTCTGATGATCTGTAAATTGTCCTCTGAGCAACAATGATCCAGTTGCTGAGGATTCAAAGATGAATAAGACATAGACCCCTCCTTTGAGAATCTGCTGTCTAGGGGAAGATACACACAGATGAACTGGTGATTAAGATACAAAGTGTGGGGCTTCCCTGGTGGCGCAGTGGTTGAGTCCACCTGACGACGCAGGGGACACGGGCTTGTGCCCCGGTCCGGGAAGATCCCACATGCCGCTGAGCGGCTGGGCCCGTGAGCCACAGCCGCTGAGCCTGCGCGTCTGGAGCCTGTGCTCCGCAACGGGAGAGGCCACAACAGTGGGAGGCCCGCGTACCGCAAAAAAAAAAAAAAAAAAAAAAAAAAGATACAAAGTGTGGCCTAATGATCCCAAGCTCTGGAGTCAGGCACCAGGGTTCAAGTTCTGCCCCCTCCAGATGTGAGGCTCTGAGTGAGTTCCTTAGCATGTTTGGGCCACAGTTTCCTTATCTGTAAAATAAAAAATAATTCCTACCTTATACCATTGTGAGCATGAGGCTGTGTAAATGTTAAATATGAAGGATGGACTTGAGGAATGGCCGTTAGCGCTTATGAAGGTGGGAAGCGCCTTGCATTCATTTTCACGTCCCACAGCCCCGAGCTGTGTGCCCTCTGCGTCCTAAGCTTTAATGAATGTCTGAAGGCAAGACAGCATTACTCTGGAGATACAGAGCTGGGATAGGCAGGACAACTACGGAAAGACCCATATCCGGATCTTGACTTACTCTACAAGCATTTTTTGAGCACCTGCTGTGTATGGAGCTCAGCGTGTAGGCACCTGGGACAAAGCCAAATAAAATACACAGCCTAGTGGGGAGACCATTAGACTGCAATACTGTGTGGTCAGGGCAAGACAGAGGCACCCTGGGTCCAGGGACAGCCATGCCAATAAGAACTTCCTTCTTTGGTTTCCCATCCTTCCCAGTCTACCCTTTAGGATTCTCTTAGTGTTTATGGTGTGACTCTCCTTCCACACTATACCATATGCTTCAGGAGTTCTTTGAGGGCAGAAGGGGTCGTCTGTCTTCTTGGCCATTGTATCCCAAATACCGAGCAATGTACCTGACTCCTAATAGGCATTCGACAAGTATTTGCTGGAGTAGTGAACATTCTGCTATGTCAGAGCCCAGCACTGGACTTCCCTGAAGAACCACCTCCAGCCTCCTTGATCACTGGGTATGATTCTTGACGAGCCAAGAGAAAAGATCCCCAGAGGATCTGTCCCTTAACATAAAGCCTGACAGAGGAGATGGGGGGGGGGGGACAGGCTGCATGACAACATATCATAATACTGTCCAGTTATTACATACAGATCAAGAGGGAACAAACTAAACTCGGGGAGAAGCTATGACAGTCCATTCCTCTTCAGAAATACAATGCTTTGCATACACTGGACATTAAGTACTATTATCAGACTGACCTGGAGGCCCAGGAAATGGTGAAAGGAGAAAGACGGTACAACGTTTCCCTTCCAGCACCCAACGTGGGAAGGAAGCCAGCAAACCATTACACCCTGCACTGTGCGTATAGAAGTAAGAAAACGGAGGCCCAAGCTGGCCTTGGGGACGGGGATGGGGATGGTTCTCAGGAGGGAGAGAATGGAGAATTTCCGGGCGTGGTCGGCACAGCTGGGTAAGTGGCTAACGCCATCACAAATGGTGGTAAGTCAGGACGAACAACATACCTGTGAGAGGGAGACACCAGCACCCTCTCTCACCTGGAGAAGTCAGGCAGCCCCTCCCAGGCCAAACCATTCTTAGGGTGGGCTGAAGAGGGAATAGCATAGGAGTCCAAAAGCCGACCCCAGGGGTGTTTCTGACAAAATCTTTGGGCCGGGGAGCGGCGGGGGGGAGGCACGGTATTCTCTGCTTCCACAGATCGAATGACTTCTGCACCAGTGTTTCACTCCTTTGATAAACGGCGCGCCACCTTACACACAGAAGGCCCACGGTAAACGTGTTGACTTAATTGAATAACTGAATGAACGAAGGCTACTGAGGACCCTATGGAACTCCCCTCCCCCCCAAACCTCCGCTGCAGGTGATTCCACCTGGCCCGGCTGCGGCCCCAGGACCCGTATTTCCCCCTGGCACCACCTTTCCGCTTCAGTACTGGGCGTCCAATCGCTTGGCTCCAAAACAGCGGCAACCGAGAAGGCAGGTGGGGCTTGGCTCCCACTCCCGGATCCCCGCGCTCCTCTCGCCAATCCAGTGCCCAGCCCTGCCCGGAGGGAAGGCCCCTCCCCAAAGGCTGGCACCAGCTGGCCTGAAAGAAAGTGGCGCCCGGGCAGACCGCAAAGGGCGGGAGGAACGACGCACCTGGCGGGGCGCGTGAGAGCAGCCAGCCGAGGCCGCGGGGTGCGCGTCCCCCGCGAGTCCGCGCCCGGCTCGGCCTCCCGGGGGGCGTGGGCTCGGGGCTGGGGACCGCTCGGCCCGGCCCATCCCGCCCGGCCGGCGCCTCGGCCTCACCTCGCTCACCAGCCCCTGCCAGTCGCTCTCGGTCCGGTCGCCGTTCATGGCCTCCTCCTCCAGGCACGGGCCGGCCTCATGGACGCCACCCTCCTCCTCTGCGGCCTCCTCCTCCCGCCGCGCCGCCGCCGTCGCCTCCTCCACCCGGGCCCCGCGCGGCCCCGAGAGGGCCCGGCGCCTCCGAGCCGCCGCGCCGCCGCCTCCTGCGGCCGCCCGCGCTGTTGACTCAACGTCAGCCTCCGCGGGAGGAAGGGGAGGAGGAGCCGCGGTCGGTGCCGGGCCGCAGCCGCCGCCGAGCCGGCCTAGGACCGCGCCACGAAGCCCCCGGGCCCCGCTCAGCCCCCGGACCCCGCGCTCGTGGCGGCCGAGGTCCTGACCGCAGGATTACTGCTCTCCCGGCGGGAGGCGGCTCGGCGTCCCCCAAAGTAAATCCCCAAATCCAGCCATTCCCTGACCACTATCATGGCTCTCACCATTAGAATGTAAGCCCCACCTGGGCAGAGGGTTGCTTCCCTCTCGGATGAATGTTGGGTACAGGGCCTGGCACACAGTAGGTGCCCTACAAATATTTGTTGAACCTGTGGATGAATGAACCACATGTTCTTACATATTTAACATGTTTTTTTAAGCTACTAATGTTTATTTCTGTTTCTTAAATTATCAGCTGTCATAAATAAAAACGAAAATAAAACGGTAATGAATTCTAAATAGGACTGAAAGCTCTGAGTGTGATGCTTAACATGGGTCAAGAGAGGTGTTGAAGACATATTAGCATCAAACTGAGACTTTCTCCTAAGAGGAAGGGCTAAAAGGGAATTACATTACAGAGGACGGGGGAATCTTCACACATGAGTCAATATTATTCAAGGTGGTTTTCCCCAGCCACCTAAAATCCTGTCCTGAACCACTACCAGTAGTGAGCTTTCCATACTTGCAGAAGCGCTGCCTGCAGAGATGAGCATGTAGGTTGAGAAGTTGTGAACCCATTTTAGTTGTGGACACATCACGACCAACATCTATTTGTTTTAGTCCCTGTTGATCCTGAATCGATCCTGCAGGATGGATGTTACCTCCATTTATCAGAAAAGGTGGAGAAACAGAGACTCAACTAGGACTCCTAGCTCCCAGAGACACTTCCCAGCCTCTTGGAAACCTGAAAATGAAATATTACCCCTGGGAGTTGGAAATGTTGCATTCTATTGTTGGCCTTGTTTTATTGGCTGTTTGCAAAATGGTGTCGATAATTCCCACATCGCACCCACTGTCTTTGACTTTAGGCTCAGCCATGTGACTTGCTCTGGCTAACGTGATGTTTGCAAGTGTGCTACACAAGGAGGCTTGTAAAATACCTGTGCAGTAGGGCTTATTCTTGCTTACGCTCTTAGGAACCTCTGATCACCACCATAGAAACAAGCCCAGAAGAGCTTGCTGGATGATGAAGGACTCATGGCCAACAACCAGCCAACTACCACATGTGAGTGAGGCCACTGACCCCCAGCGGCCACAGATGCCTGCATTAGTCCAGCTGAGGTCAGCAGAAGAACTACCCAGCTGAGCCTTGCCTAATTTGCTGACCTACAGAGCACGTGCTAAATAAGCTGTTGTTGTTTTAAGCCCCTAAGTTTTGGGGTGGTTTACTACATAACAATAGATAACTGATATAAGTGGTGACACCACTAATGAGGAGCCTGGATGGCCTGAACTCTCTCTGGAAGCCCTGGCATCATGACCTGTTGGGTCCTCATCTAAAGAAGATTCTACAGCAGATTCTGGCAGACCAGGGGCTACAGGAAGGAGCCAGTCTAGTAGGTAGCACTTTTATTCAGTGCCTGTTGTGTACAAATCCTGTACTCATCCTGAACACATTCAATAGCATTGCAGACCACGGTCCCTGTCCTAGAGGATTTGCAAGCCTTACCATTAAAGTTTTGCAAACAAGTGCTCTAGGGAACAAGAGAAAAAGAAGGGGCTAGAATACAGCTAATGCTTCTGGTATTCTGACCAGCTGGGCCACCTAATCCATTCTTTGTAATCCAAGAGGGTGGAAAGAAGGTCATCCCTGAGTTGAATGTCTAGGGTTAACTCAGCACCAAACACTTGTTCCTAACAGCCTGATAGATGTCTCATGCTAAGAAGAAAGGTACTGTCTGCCAATATATTACCCTCTGGCAAACCATCTGGTTTCATTCCAACCTGTCAATGAGATAGACTTTAGGAAGAGTGGGCATAACTTGGTCCATCTGCCTTCCACTGCCTCGAGGTCTGCGCCTTGCTCTCGGCTGGCATTCAGGCGGGAAAGCAGCCCGCCCCTTCTAGTTACTATGTTTAGCTGAGGCTTTCAGTACTGCTGTGGCTTTGGAGCCTTCACTGGTATTTCAGGCAGCAGGACAATCAGCAAGCTGTTGGGAGCCAAGGAATCTTCACGAGAGGGATCATGTACCTTTACGACAACTCTCTGGGCGACTTTTTGTGCCTACTTGCTTTCCTTCTCTGAAGTAAGTCAGCCAGTTATTAAGGTGTTTAAAAATAAAACTGGGGAGGAAAATCAAAGAGCGGCAAGCCTCTACCCTCCCCAGTATGTGGAGAAACTTTCAACTCAGTTGAAAGGGCATCTCCAGTTGCCTGGGTTTCCCTCAGAGGTTTCATGCCCCAAGTGCCAGCTCGAACCTGCTTAGCTTGTGAGATGTGATGAAATCACAAACCAAGGCAATGTAGCTGTGAGCGATTCTTTTTTATCTCTTTTCATTTATGTAGCCTGACATTGAGTAATAATAATAATTAAACGCAGTTTAAGCTTTCAGGCACCTATACCAGAAGGCCTCTAGACACCTCAGCAACAGCAACCCAGGCTGACAGAAACGAAGCTAATAATATTGTGGTTTACATTTTTCAAAGGAAAAAATAAAACTGCTGATCAACTGTCCTCACCTTTGATAAAAGCAGTACATTCAATGTTCCATCCCGCAGTCCATTTGCATGGGACCAGTTTAAAACCAGGGGCCCCGGTCTTAAATTTGCTACCCTGGCACTAACTGTTGAAACATTGTTTTCAGCCTCTATTTTCACATCCCTTTAACTCTCTGACAAATCTCTAGGGACCCAATTTTTCTTATGTATATATTCAGAGCCCTAGGGCCAATTTTATCAATATTTATTTATTTATTTGCACGTGTAGTTAGAAGAAAGTGCTTAGGTGCTTTTGAGCGATGCTTTAAACTTTCAAAAGTTTGGGTGGGTTTTAGATATGGAAACTCCAAAAGAGCTTCATCTAAGAAATTGAACTAGCAGATACTGATGAAAACAAAACAAAACAAATCTCTGGAGACACTGGGAAAGAAAGGATGGCTTGAAGTTATTGTTAGAAACGTAGCCTCTCCTTATGGGTTCTCTATCGACTTGCAAGGTAACTTTGGCTAAGTGTCAGCAGCCCCAGACACACGGGAAAGCCCTAAAGCTTTTGACACAACTTCTCCAGGCAGCATTTTCAGTTCAAATTCTGGCCGCCCAAGCCAGAATGTCAGCATTCTCATTAAAGGAAACTGAGCAAATCTCCAGTAGAGATTTTTGGCTCAGCTTTTCTCTGAACTGTACAATTGGGGCAATATTTATGGCCGCTCATTTCTCCAGTCACTTTTCTCCTGCCTGAATTAGGAAACCCAGTCTGATGAGCCTGGGAAGAAAATGATTCTTAATGACTGTGGTTTATAGTGGTATGTGTGTGTGTGTGTGTGTGTGTGTTTGTGTGTTTAATGTATATATTAATTAGCTCTCTATGAGCCAAGATCCTCAATTCTTTCTCTTGTCAAGGGAGGGCCGTTTTGATAGGTCCTGCCAGGAGTCTCCATGACCCGGTTGCTAAATGGCTTCCTTTGTTCGTGACTTTAACCCAGGGCAGGGAACTGCAGGTCCCAGTGTGCACTGCAGTCAGGCCTCCTGCAGAGCCCTGAGACCCAAGGTCCTCTGGGCCACTGGCCTCAATTCTGTAAAAGATAAGCCTCTTCCCTTCCCTTCTTTTCCCCTACCTGGGGATACTCTGCAAAGGGCCTCATCCATCATTTCCCTACCAGGGCCCGCAGCCAGACACCAGACAGACAGACAGACAGCGGATTCTGGCTGAGTTCCTGACTCAGCGCATTCTCTGTCTCTTTGCCCCCTGAACTCCTGGCCCGTCTCTGTGCCGCCACCAAGCCCTCCCTGCCCAGCAGCAAACAATCAGTTGCATGCTAGTCCTCTCCACCCTGCCCCCCAGCCCAGCTAGCTGCCAATCAGCCAGGCAGCAGCGGGTGGAAGGAAGTTCCACTCCCCGCTGAATCTCTTCTGAGGTGCTCAAAATGACTGAGTGGGGCTGGTGATGGCCTGTGGACCCACAATTGCCATCCCCGGAAGGGGCGAATCGTGATTGACTGGCGCGTTGAGGGCAGGAGGCTGGGGACCGGCGGAGGCAGACGGGCAGCTTTTTTCTCTACCTGTGGAAGGGTCCCGATAAGGGGGAGGAAGATGTCAGGAGGAAAGGGCCCTGAGCTGGAGAAGAAATGGAAAAAAAGGAGAGACAGAGGGAGACGCAGGGCTTGCGCTCCAGATAAGAGGCCAAGAAATCAACTAGAGAAATCAGTTAGAGATGATCATACTAAGTGAAGTCAGTCAGAAAGAGAAAGACAAATACCATATGATATCACTGTTATGTGGAATCTAAAATATGGCACAAATGAACCTACCTACCAAGCAGAAAGAGACTCACAGACACAGAGAACAGATTTGTGGTTGCCAAGGGGGGTGGCGGAGGGATGGACTGGAGTTTGGGGTTAGTAGATGCAAACTATTGCATATAGAATGGATAGACAACAAGGTCCTGCTGTATAGCACCGGGAACTATATTCAATGTCCTGGGATGAGCCATAATGGAAAAGAATATAAAAAAGAATGTATATATGTATTTAAAAAATTAAAAAAAACCCACAAGAGAAGAGCGGAAAACCTTGGACACAGCAGTGGATGGGGGTAAATCCAGCCCTGGCCCATGGGGGGAGTGGAGTGAGCTGTAGCCCAAGAAAGCAGTT